TGGGGGGGCTCGATCCCAGGACCCTGAGATCATGACCTGAGCCAAAGGCAGAGACTTAACCACCTGAGCCACCTGGTCGCCCCCGCCCTTTTGCTTTTAAATCTTATATCCAGCTAGGTCCTTAGTTTTCCCAGAATATGAACTAAGATATTAACTTGCATTTATTTATATACTTTTTTCTTCAAAAATTAAATACTTAGTTTTTAAAAACATTTTTAACATACAAGATCCCCTTTTTTCCTATTCTAGCTTAGAGTGAATTTTTTCTTACTGCAAAGGTAGTCTTTTCCCTCAATTACATTTTCTTCTCCCTTCCTTAGGCCAATTCTTAGGATTCTAGTACAGTTTTTTTAAAGGGCAGAACAAGTAAAGTGAAAATTACCACATAATGAGAGTCACTAGTAGATTTGGGGAGGCAAACCCAGAGGTCCTTACTTGTGTTCAATGCTTGGTCCACTTAAAAATTAGTACTTTTTCATTGTATATCCTGGACTTAGGAGAATGGTGTTGCTTTTTTGATTCTTTGCAGAAATCCATTTTCTGTAACAACCAATTTTAGATGAGCTAATGATACTCTTATTTTTTTCAGAGTTTTCAATAATAAACCTTATTTTTTTAAGAATGGTTTCAGATTTACAGAAAACATGGAAAGATGGTACAGTAAGTCTCCATATGCCAGGCACACAGTTTCCTCTGTTATTAACATATTATGGTACACTTGCCATAATGAAAAAAAATCAATATGGATACATTGTTAACTAAACTCCTCAGTTTATTCAGGTTTCCTTAGCCTTTACTTATTTTTTTTTCCTGTTCCAGGACCCCATCCTGAACACATTGCATTTAGTTTTCCTATCTTAATCTCCTCTTTGCAGTAGCATTTTCTTAGACTTTTCTTGTTTTTGATGACCTTGACAGTTTTGATGTTAACTTTCCTTCTTTTGTTTATTGAGGTATAATTAACATATAATGTAACATTATTATTAGTTTCAGGGGTAGATATTAACTTTTAAAATAATACATAACATAAATATAACATATAAAATGAATAACATACAACCCCGACCTCCATACTTCCCAATATGCTGCCTAGAGTTTACTGGTTAATTTCACTTAGTTGAAAATACAATTCTAGAAAACCTTTTTTTGAGTAAACAAAAGGTTAAATTCTGTATGTTCATTAATAGCAAAGTCTTGATTAATTTTTTTCAGTGTTCAGGGGAACCTGAATTAGGAAATTTGTCACGTGATCAAAGAACTGTAAGGACCGAATAGACTGATCAGCACCACCTGTCTCAAACCCTCCCCCAACTCCAAGTGGATTGGATTGTTTTAGTTGCTTGGTTGGGCTTTAACTAACAGCTGTTTGCTGAATATTTTTAAGTCTCTCTGTTCTTTTAGAACACAAGCCTAATTTATCTGGCCTCTCAGTAACACTGTGATTACTGAGTTCTTGCTGTTGCCTTCTGCTCAATCTTTTTCATTTTGGAAAAACTGAATAAAACCAAGTATCACAATTTTAGGATTGCAATTAGCATTTGTTTCTGCATTTCATCTTTCTGAAGTCTCTACGGTGACTAAAACATTTTCATTTTTGGAGTTTAGCAATGTTGAGGGAAGCGTAGAGCAGAAAGTTCTCATACTGATGAGTAGAAGTCCCTCCCTTGTCCTTCCTTTCCCTGCATGCTCCAAATTGAGGCTGTATAAAGTATAACTATAATGCGACTTTTTCAACAAATATAGTAGAGTGATTATATCCAAGTGAGTTATCTCCCAGAAGTGGTCAACTTGGGAGGCCATACATTTATTATAGTAAAAATTGCCTTCGCTGATGTGATCAGAATTTTCATTTCACTGGTTTCATCTTTCGGCACATTATTTTGACTGCTCAGTCATGGTATATTTTTATCTTTTGGGGATAAATTCAACTTTAAGAAACATCAACAAGTCATTCAGAGCAAAAGAGGGGAATAAAATGACAGGATGAAATGGGGTGATCTCTTTTTTAGACTCTTATTAGATGTGAAGTAACGGGACTGATTTTCATTTTCGTGTATAAGTATACACTGGCCCTTAAGGCTTTCCAAAAGAAGCATTCCAAAAAATATTCAAAGAGTGAGAACTTGGATAGAATAAGAACGTAGCTTCCCAAGTAGAAAAGAAGATTCCTGAAGAAGATTCATATGCTCATCTTAGCTTGTTGAAACTATCACTGTGCTTGATAGCAACCTTCAGTGCATCGGAATTTCCTGTAGAGCCAATATAGATAGGCAGATAGATGGATAGATAGATGCATGTCTAGGGTTCATCCCATTCTTAACTAATCACAGTCTTTGGGATTCAGGTCTAGGAGGGTGTATTTTCAACAATTATATCAGAGCTTTTCTGAGAGCCCCCCGAATTGAGGACCATTGCTTTAACTTCTTTTTAATATACTCCTTGGGGTATAGACTTTGCTTTCTTGTACATAATATGCTTTTCAAGTAAAGCATACTTGCCTCTGTAAAGAGACGTCCGTATTTGTCTCACAGAAACAAAAAGATACTCTTATTTCCTTCAAAAGAATCCTTTTTTATTGAGCTGCTACCTCAAGCCATCTGTATTTTTACTGCCTACCATTTGTCACACACAACTCCCTACTTTTATCAGTCTCTCCCCCTAGAATGAAAGCTTCATAAAGGCAAGGACCATGTCTGTTTTACTTTTCAGTGTGTCCCCAGCACAGTGGCTGACCCATAGTAGGTATTTAAGAATGAATGGATGGGGGGCGCCTGGGTGGCTCAGTTGTTAAGTGTCTGCCTTCAGCTCAGGTCATGATCCCAGGGTCCTGGGATCAAGCCCCGCATCGAGCACCCTGCTCTGCGGGAAGTCTGCTTCTCCCTCTCCCACTCCCCCTGCTTGTGTTTCCTCTCTCTCTGTGTCTCTCTCTGTCAAATACATAAATAAAATCTTTAAAAAAAAATGGATGGATCAGAAATAAATGTGCAAGGCTAATAGGCCATGATTTAAAGTAGATCTGAAGCTGAACTTGCTTGTTATCAAAATATAATGCTTTATATCACAACAAATATTTATTGAATTGTGATTTAGAGCACTAACAGAGTCTGATGACTTAAACACAAATCCCAGCTCTGCCATTTACCAGTATTGACCTTGAGCTTGTTACTTCACCTCTTATCTTCTGTTACCTCATTTGTAAAAAAAAAAAAAAAAAAAAAAAAAGGTGGTTAATCTGAAGGATCTCTGGAGTTCTTTCCATCTCTGAAAATTCTTTGATTCTGAGTGCCTAATATTATGTCAAGCATAATAGATGATTCCAAAAGAAGCCTTAAGGACTTGTCTTAAGTTGTTTAAATGTATAGTTCACCAGTTAACTGGGTGACTTGCTGACTTTCAAGTGAATTCCTAAGTCCACAATCCCATTCTCAAGAAAAAGAATAAACATAGTAATATTAAGCATTTTAAATAGGAATGGCATTTTCTTTGTGAAGCCAAACTCCTTCCCTACTTTGCAAGAAAGGAATGTTTTTGTAGCTGTGAAATAGGCAACTTTTCCCATGTGGCAGAGTGTTTTGTTGTGCTGACTGGCTGAGAAAAAGAAGTTAGGAAAGTGTGATAAGAGAAAAAAGCAAAAGGCTGTGTATTTTGAACAGTTTTTAAATTCTCTTTGCTTCTCACCCAGCACTTAGAACAAGAGAAACACGAACTAAGAAGACGATTTGAGAACCGAGAAGGGGAATGGGAAGGGCGCGTGTCAGAGCTGGAGAGTGATGTGAAACAACTTCAGGATGAGTTGGAGAGGCAGCAGGTTCATCTGCGGGAAGCAGATCGAGAAAAAACACGGGCTGTCCAGGAATTATCAGAACAGAACCAGAGGTTATTGGATCAACTCAGCAGAGTAAGTCACAAGTTAAGAATTTATGGTACAAAAATACTGAAAGTTGAAACCAGAGCTGCTGTGTGATGTCAAGTTGAAACCAGAGCTGCTGTGTGATGTCAGTCATACATATGGTAATAGGAGTTCTGATTTTTGTTGCCTTTGGTGTTGATATCGACAAGTTGAATATTTTTCACCTAATGAGAACTTTAGCTGTGTGAACTAGGAGTCAGGAGCCAAAATCCTTACCTGTCATTAGACTTTGAAAACACTTAAATTGGGAGTTTTTTCGTTTATAAAATGAAAGAATAGTGCCTAATGATTTCTGACATTCCAGAAAGCTCTAAAAGTCTATGATTCCTTACCTAGAGAAAGTCTGTCATGAGTAAAATTATGTTAATACATTTAGTTCAAATATTAAATGGTGCCATCCTTAAACTGAAAAGCTTAGGGAAAATTACTAGAGCTAAAGATTTTCATTGATGTTACATTTGTGAATGTACATTTCTTCATATTTAAATGTGAAAGGAGGTATATACATATCTGTGTTTAAAACTTGTTCTTTTTATTTCATATTAAGTAAAAATTCTTTACTTGTTACCTTTATAGGGTGGTGTCATGAAAGTATTAATTAACCAAGGTTAAGACTATGAAATCATTGTAAGTTTGAGTTTGAGGGCTGAATAGGTAGAAATCTAATTTAAATACAGAACATACCTTTTTAACAAATGCAGGAATGCTGTTAATGCCCTGGTCTTTAAATCCACCTACTTTTGAAAATTAAGAGCTGGATTTACTATGGTACCTCAGTCCTTCTTATGTGTTGAAAATAAAACTATTAATTCTTCAGTTATCAGAGGAAAAAAGAACTCGTAGTCTGATCTCATCCCATAGGTCATGCTTAGGTTTTTGGAAAAGGCTTAGCTAGAGCAGCACATGGTAAATTCTTGGCATTTCCACTAATTCAGCGGGTAATACCATGTGAAGTTATTTCATTAGTTTGTCATAGTTGCTTCCCATGGGTACCTTTGTGCTTCACTAGGAAGTGTGAGGTAAATGCTCCCACTAGAGAAAGGGAGAAGAGGTGGGGGGAGAATAAAGGTGGGAAGGAGGGGGAGGGAGACAGGGAAGGAAGAAGGAAGGGAAAAAAGAGATGCCTGATAACTTGGAAAATAGCTAATTGCAGGAAATATCAACTCATGTGAAAGATGAGAGTACAGATGATAAGTAGAGCTAAAGATCTTGCCTGCAGGCTTCCCATCTAAGGGATTAAATCACCGTTTGATTGGCTGGAAGGGAAGAGTTGGACAGTTCTTCAAGAAGTCATTTCAAGGCCAGTTCAGTAGCAACATTTCTGACTCTGTTCTAAAACCTTTTGCAATAACTGGGAAGGGATTTTGTAAGATTTTTTAGGTTTTGAGTCTTTATTCATTATTCATGAAAGATTAAACTAACTGGATACACCTAGCCAGATTTACTTATTTGTTCAACAGCATTGACTTAATACTTATTCTGAGCCAGTGTTTCTTATGGACATCTATGCAGGGAATACAGCAAACCAGAACAATTAAAGGGGAAATTATTTCTTGGGGGTAAGTTCATGTTACAAAATAATGTGAGCAGAAACAGACTCCACTCCGCTCTCTGATCTGGTGAAAGATAGGTGGCCAAGAGAGATGAAGGGAGAAAGCAGATATTAACATGACATAGCAAAAGAGCAGAGAACTTGGAATTTACATGCATGTGGAATCTTGACTCTGTTTCTCGTTGACTGGATGGCCTTGTTTGTGCCTCACTTTCTTTACCTATAAAATGGGGATACAAATCCAAACCTTATACAAGTGTTGTTGAAACAAAAGTAAGATAATGTGTTTGTTATGCTGCAGTGTATGAATGTTGATGGGTTGTTTTACTAATAGTACTTCTATAGTTGAGGTTCCTTTGCCTAATTTCTCTGTAGAAAATCCTGATAAGCTGTTCCCAAAAGGATATAGGAGGATAACATTTCCACTAGATCTAGATTCTTGTTATCCTTTCTGGCCTTGAATGTAGGCTCTTGGTGAGTTTTGTGGCTTTTTTTCCCTTTCTCTTTTTAAGCAGGACAAGCCCCTGGGGTTTCCATCAATAGCCAGTTTAGATTGTATTTTATCATTTTATTAACTGGGTATTCAGGAACTAGAGGAGTTGAGTACTTTGAAGTGAATTAAGATTCCCCTTGGATAAGAAAACCAGCAGAAGTAGTAGAAGGCCAGGTTTTTTTATGATGTATATAACATGCCTTTATAAGCATGAAATGTATAATATCTAAAGTGTAGTACAATATTTCTGTGATGCTTTTGTCCAAAGTATTTTTTAAGCTTATTTTTTTAGTAATCTCTATACCCAATGCAGGGCTCAAACTCATGACCCCGAGATCAAGAGCTGCATGCTCTTCAGACTGAGCCAGCCAAGTACCCTCAAAGTATTTTTAAGTATATTTCTTTTGCCACAATGGCATCCAGGTTTTGCTTGTTTTTTTTTTAAGTACAGCTCTGTTGAGATATAATGCACATACCATAACATTTACTTTTTAAAGGTATAAAATTCACTGGATTTTAGTATATTCAGAGTTGTGCAGCCATCACCACTATTTAATTATAGAACATTTCACCCCCCCAAAGAAAGAAATCCTATACCCATTAGTAGTCACTGTCCATTCTTCCTAACCCCCTACCCCATGCCCTGACCCCTGGTAACCACTCATCTGCTTTCTGTTTCTATGGATTTGCCTGTTCTGGACATTTCATATAAATGAAATCATACATACGTGATTCTTTGTGACTGGCTTCTTTCCCTTAGCATGATGTTTCAAGGTTCACCTGCATTGTAGCATATATCAATACCTTATTTTTACAGCTGAAGAATATTCCATTCTTGGGTATAACACAGTTTGCTTATTCATTAGTTGATGGACATTTAGGTTGTTTCCACTTTTTGGCTATTAGGAATAAGGTTACCATAAACATTCATGTACATGTTTTTATGTGACCAGGCTTCTTTTTAGCTCTAAAATAGGATGCTGTGGGCATATATAACCCATGAGCATCTGGATCCTCATTATCATGAAGGAAGAGATAGGTTTTCCAATTTTGTAGCTGGGAAAACTTGAGGGACAGAAAGACACATGGCTTGTTTAAGGCTTTTCTAATTTAAGACTTACGGTTCCTGTGCCTCAGTTTCAGATTTCTGAGGCGGCAATTAAGGTCATAGGTTTTGGAGCCAGACAGCCCTGGGCCAAACACCAGCTCTGCTATTTACTAGCTGGGTGAACATGGGAAAGTTTTTCACCTTTTTTAAGCTTAGTTTCCTCCTTTGTAAAATAGAAACAAACAACTATTACTGTTACCTGATAGTGTTAGGAGGACTAAATGAGATAATATATGTAAAACTCTAACCACAGTGCCTAGCATATTGTAAGTGCTCAGTAAATGGTAGCCATGATTTATAATTATCATGTCTTCTTCACATAGACGGGATTTCTGCATCTAGTCAAACATTGGAATTCTAACCTGATGGCAGAAGAATCTGAAGTGTCCCCAGCGTATATTAGTGCCTGAAAATGTTTTGTCTTGCAGTTAAATCTCTATTCAGAAATATTTGAGTAAAAATGATCCTTCTAGGAGTGAGTCAGGTTCATTCTATGGCATCTCGTATCCCCTAGACACTGCTTCATATACTCTGGGGATACCATTATTCGAGTTTATTTGTTCATTTGGACAAAATGCCCTCTAAATTCTCTTCTAGCTTCTAAAATTCTGTGAGTTTCATTTTTGTGAAACTCAGGCTGACATATTTGGAGAAAGTGTAGTTCACTTTCTGAGTTAGAAAGTAACACCATGATGGCATTGACAGTGGGTTTTTGTTTTGGTTTTTTGGGGTTTTTTTTAGATTTTATTTATTTGTCAGAGAGAGAAAAAGAGCACAAGCAGGAGGAGAGGCAGGCAGAGGGAGAAATAGACTCCCGGCTGAACAAGGAGCCCAATGCAGAACTTGATCCCAGGACCCTGGGATCATGACCTGAGCCAAAGGCAGATGCTTAACTGACTGAGCCACCCAGGCATCCCTACAATGGGGTTTGATAGGGCATGCTAGACATTTATCATCCTATCTCAAAAGTAGAAAGAATACAGTGGGCCTTGCTTTCAGGAAGAGAAGAGGAGAGACATGGGCCATGCTTGTCACCTAAGAAGAGTATTTTCATGTAAAACTTAAAATGGAGGTTTTTTGAGATTCCCTCTGATACATACCTAATACAGTAATTTTCACTAGCATTACAGCAGAATCCTCCAGAGCCCCCAGATGATTTTCTCCCCAACAGTAGCAGCAAAGATAACAGAGTATTTTGATCAGTGTTAAAGTGTTCTAAAGTGATCATTCACTAATTTAACCTGCTACAGCTTAACCACAGTTTAGGCACTGTGGAAAGTTCTTAAGTTTGTGTGTAGGGCAGCAAGTCAAAATAGTGATTTGAACAGTATAGAAACAGTCTTGTTCATAATAATAATAATAATGTCAGTAATAACAAGCTTCTTTAGCCTTTTCAGCCTACAGAAGCAGTTGACATAAGATATTTTCAAAATGAATCTCAGTAGTAGTAGAAACTTCAGTAAGAGTTAAGTCATTTTCACAGTTTTTACTAATAAAACACTGCTCAAACGTCCTTGTAAACACTAAGGTCAGACTTGAGCACTTGTTGACCAAAGAATGGGAAAAATGATTGATTCCTTCTTTAAAAAAAAAAAGAGGGGGAGGATTTAAAATTGCTCAGGAACCACTAAAGTTTTCCTTCCCTGAAATAACATAGTTCTAGAGTTTGTAGGAACTGGCTAGGAAATTTTCTTACACTTTTCCCCTGCAGTTTTATACATGAAATATCATCTGTACCTTTTCTCCCCTGTCCTTCCCTCACCCCTAATCCTACCAACAGCAGACCCATATGCTTAATCCTAATCCCATTTTCTCTACAGGGGGTCAGGGCTTCA